TTATCACTTTGTTTTCACCTAGTCATTAGATAAATTGTTATTATAAAATTATTGTTTATAATTACTGTGAGGTCTGTTACCACAGACGATTTAAGGAAAAAGACATGGCACTTAAAGGATCCTGAATAGAATTCTATTGGGAAAGCCTGTAATGCCAAAGATGGCGGTTGGAGCACATATCCCGCCCCTACTACAAGAAAGCCAATTGTCTGCTTTTTAACACCCATGCCAAAAAATATATTAAGCCAGGCATGTGGTTCCACTGATGTAAGTGCACAGTTGATGTTTGCAGGTGTGTCACCAGATCAGATGCACTACATGTCTGCCAAAACCCCTGCGTGAAAAGGGACCAGATTTGATATGCAGTACTTGCAATATGTGTTAATACCGGGGTGTCTTTCTAAACGTTTATGGTATATGCTGACTGTATCCATAATGTCAATTAGCATAGCATTTGTTCAAGCGCCCTGGTGGGATGAGCTCATGGCATCTTGTCGCCAACACTCTGAATAGAGCTGTAAACGAAGTTGGTGTCGTGAAACCTTGTTTCTGTCTCTCATTTATATAAATGACCTTGCTTGGATGTCTGATTCTGCATTGCCCATTCTATTCGCAGATGATACTAATGCTGTCATATCACATGCAAACTCCCATTCCTCGATGAGAGAAGCTAATGATGTTCTACTATATACTGCAAAGGGATTCCAGATGAACAAACTTTCATTAAATATAGAAAACTCAGATTTTTACAATTTTCTGTAATAAAAATTAAAGATATTTAAAAGAAGATGCTAAACTGTTTATTAACAATATTGAAATCAACCAAGTTAAGTCAGCAAAATGTTTTAGGTGTATAAGTAGATGAAAAACTTTCTTGCAAAAACCATATTGACTATGTGTGCAGAAAAATCATGAAGTCACTTGGTATCATTAGAAAAGTTTGTTCATTGGTAAATCGATCCTGTCTTTTAACTCTTTATTATAGTTTATTGTATCCATACATCTCATACTGTAACATTGTTTGGGACAGTAATTATCCTTCTTCTCTTCAAAAAATCATTTTTAAACCTTATTTTGGGGCAAAGTCATTTTTCTATATATAGTTTTATGTCCTGGTGACCAATGACAATGCAGTGCAATGCTCTCTCCGTATTCATTTAGACAGGGGCCTGATCTTGTTAGTCAGAAATAACTACCCAGAGGAGTGAGCAAGAAGGCCTACTTTTTTAAGCGAAACTCATAGACCTATAAACAAAGACCACATTCAGTGTTTCCCCACAGGATTGTGTGAGACTGGTCATCAAAGGAGGTACGCATAGGGTCTGTGTGGATGTCCGCGTGCCTCCTGGAAGGGTCCAGCTGCAGCCTGCAGACAAACGTGACGGAAGTTGAACTTCCAAATATGGAAGCCGAGATAAACGTGATGACGTTTGGCTGCTTGGCCAGTGCATAGGTCAAGTGTTGGCTGCAGTGGTCTGTGTGACTGGGCCTGGGGGAGCTAACCGGAGCTAGCTAGCTAACTATTCCTGACAGCCCCCTGAAGTATATTACTCTTACCCTAACCATCACAGGGTGTGTGCCTATAGTTATTGATTGTATGCATGTCGAGCAGTTTAACATTACCCTGCACCGGCACATGTCGGTCAGTTAACCTCCTTCACTAACAAAGACCACGCCCACGAACGTAGAAGATTAACAATGGTTTATTGCTTGTAATGGGGCCGAGATGAATTGTATGAAGAGAACTGATAGAGTGCCCGGAGGGTGGGCTGAGCGATGTAGGGATGGGGGAGGGGGTCAAGGTTTGATGGATGAAGGGTTGAGGGGAGGACAGGTAAGGGATGAAGGGGAGGAGTCGGATCCACGCCGATGGATGCGTGAGTGGAGAGCAGACCGGTGTCTACTGGCGAGAAGGTGTGCAGGAACCGGTGGAGTCAAGACTCAGGGTGGGGGAGTCGTCTCTTGGTCCGCGGACGTGCGGAAACCCCCAAAGAACTTCAGGTGGAAAGGTGCGTGTGAGCATTTCTGATATTGTTTAGGTCGTAACGGATATAAGGGAGGTATGCTGGTGAGGACCAGCAGCCGAGGATTCGATTATGTTGTCTGGGATTCCCTGCCTGGAGACGGTGGAGGCTGCTCTGATAAGGAACGGATGCCCAAGTAGAGTTTGGAGAAATGCCGAATTTCGAATTTTGCAGAGGAGTTGATGACACCAGTTTAGTTTCATTGCATGAGCCGTCTAGTTTGATGTGGTCATGGAGAGATGGGACGGAAGCGGCTATGGAAAGATGTGACAGGAAGGACAGACCTGAAGGGATGGTCCGGGTGGTGTAGGTAAGTGGCCTAGTAGTGAGAGAAGACGCCGTTTGGTGCAACGGTGGCCAGAAGGAAATTTGAATTAGCAAGGAAATGCGATGGGTTTTCTCAGGGGGCAAGAATGCCTGGAGTGACCCTGGGACTCCAAGTTTGTGGAGTGTGGAAGTCGAGATGTTGAGGCCATGAGATGGTGGCGTAGAGGGTGGCAAAAGGTGAGGGAGTCATCTGTGACATTAATATATGTTAAAATAATAATAATAAATGGAATATGAGTAGCTGAATGCAGCCGACGTTTCGGTCGAAGTTGTTTGGGAGAAGGCGAAGGCTCTGGTGTATCTGGCGTTAGATGCTCGTCGAATGTGTCGCTGTCCGAAAGATTGAGAACGAGTTCTGAGTCCGTCGTTGCAGGTAAGTGATTTCATTTGTTTGTCACGCTCATAAGAAAGCCGAGACAAGGGGAGGTGAACGGAAAAGGTGTGCTTAAGTAATAGGTGTGCGGACATTGGATAAGTTTGAGGTTTGAGTTTATAAAATTTCATTTTGTGTTGCTGAGCAGCCTCCGGTAACATTACTGCAGCTATGTGATATTGTCACCCGTCGGCACCATGGTCAGCACTTGTGGAGCTTCTCAACTCCGAAAACGTTTGAACACATTTTTGTTTCGCCGTCAATTTGCATAAACTGCAGATATTCAAAATCTACACAGTTGATTTCTCGCCTAAAAACTTCTCAGAAGTTTGTAATGTAACGGTTTCCATTAGAATCTATACTGTAGGTGAGCCGAGATTAACAACATTATGTTTTGTGTGCGGTGTCTTCTGGGACAAACCATATTTGGAAGTTCAACTTCCATCAACTTCCGTCAGGTCTGCGGGCTGCAGCTGGATATACTTGTTTTTTTGTCACCACACGGACATGTCCGCGGTGGGTCCGTGTGCCGACTAGCGCTCCCAGGGCATCTACTGCGCATGTGTGGAACGTGTCTGCCAGCTGACTGCAGAAAGTACAGAAGTAGTCCGCGTCCGCTCCTGAGGCTTAAGCCGACTCTGCCCAGTGGCAGAGTGGGGCGGTCATGCCTTAGCCATGTAGAATTCACAAATTCAAGTCCAGAGCTGCTGTAAATCATTTTGGTCCTGTATTCCCTGTCATCAAGCAGCAGCCGTGTTAGCCCTGATGTGATATGCTGCCCCATATTTGTTTGGATAATGAATTCGACAGGTAGCGAGTAGTCTCAGTTTTTACACAATGTGCTGACAGTTTCTCTAAACCCACCTTTTAAGCTTTACTAGCGATTCCTGTTTCCCTAAATGCTGCAGGAAAACTTCCAGAGTAAAGAAGGTTAAGGTTTTGCACTTAGCTGCGACTGGAGTTTGAGGGTACATGACCAGAGTCGAGGCAACTTTTAATACTGGACATTTTTTTCATCTTTAAAAGCATTTGAAATTTGATTTCTCCCTCCCCCCTCTGTCACTTGCTCCTTCACTCCTTATCAACAGCTTTGTGACTTTCACTGTCAACAGCATGTGAAAAAGAGCAAATGTTTCTCCTTACAGTCGGATGTATTGATAAAAATCCAGATGAATGTGAATTGTGGGAGGCTTGTGACAGGTGGGTGTAGGAACAAGAAGCAGGGCTTAAAGGAAGGACATTTTCTGTGGTTAGGAGAAAGAATGGAGGGACAGGGTGAAATGAAGAAAATTTTTTAAAATGAACATGTTTAATAACACAACTGATACAAATAACAAATTGTACAACCAAACTGTTCGAAACTAAGTAAAGTGCACTGTTTATTTCCAGATTCGTTTGGAATTGGGAGATGGAGGCAATTTGAACAGGGGGCAGTTGTAACACTACTTGCATTAAATTTAATAACATAGCCTTGTGTTTATTGGGGAACATATATTAATTGTATTATTAATTAGTGAATTCAGTGTTTCTTATATCAAAAGATGACATTTGTGTTGCAACATAAAAAAAGTTATAACTGCCCTCAGTTTGCCCTAAATGCAATCCTTGTGCCGATCTAAGCTACTCCGTTTACACGGGATCTGCGGGCTCCCAAGGAGGCTTCACACATTGCAAACAATGGACCCAGGAGACTGGCATAATTTAACTTGCATAACTTAACGTAATTAACATACTTATTTTAACTAAAACAATGATCTTTTCCTAAAGATAACCAAGTAGTTTTGGTGCCTAAACCTAAGCAAACTTCAACCCTTTTACAATGTTAACCATGCTTTTCTTTTTGAAAGTCTAACTGGATGTTGCATATTTATTATTGCTAAAGTGAACATGGAGTCCAGCATGTGCAAAGACGACGTTAAAGGGGTACCAAGTGCGTTAACATGTGATGCTTGACGGGTCTTGACCAAGCTTCCATTAGTGACAAGTTGGGAGAGAGAATGTGTTGGCATTATTGAGCTGACACTTCGCTGAGCCACAGTGTAAACAAATGTTTTTATTAATAAAGTAGGTTGATTTTATTAATACAAAATATAGGGTTCCTTATGGTTGTATACACATACAGCCATATTGCTACGCAATACTTAAGAGATATTTTTCCATAGACAGTCCGGCACAGTGCCAGAGAACTTTAAGCCCTGAAGAAGAGAAGAAACACCCAAGCCTAAAAAGATGGGAAGGAAATGAGTAAAGACCAGACGCAAAATAAATTCCACCTCAACACTTTGATCTGTTCTGATTTTTTTATTTTATGATTTTTTTCCATCATAAAGCCCAGAGGACTCTTTAAAAATCCAGTAGAGAGCTCTAAAGGCTTATTTATTGAAAAATAATCTTGTACCCTTTATCTTTGTCCTCTGTCCTACCCCTCTCTCTTTTTGCGAACAGAGATGATTGACCGATGTTGCCTCAGACTTGGGGTTCAGTCTGATAAATGACTCTGCCCATCATTGGAGAAGGGGAGAAAAATCGAGGGAGAAAACCTGGTTGTCCATCATCCTTTGTCCAAGTGCAGAGAGGAGATTGAATATTGACCCGAGGTTGCCTTCTTCAAGACAAGATATTTGAAGACTCTGTCATGGAATGACACTATAGTCCCGATGTTGAGTTTATCTGGAGTCACACGTTTCTTTAAGTGTACATGTTTAAACTTAGTGAAATGTGTGTGTCATATCACTGGTCAACATCTTGTAGAAACTATTATCCTGTAGTCTGAGTGTTAATGTGAAAGGTTGTTGGTATGGTGAGTGGTAACAAAGGCCCTTGCACCTGGGTGTAAAAACACCTGGTATCACTGGAGCCCTGTTCTAGGAAGTCTTACAGATTTTCATCTCCAGCAAGATACAGTATAAGAGCTGTTTTCACAAAAACAGTCAACCAAAATACCCACCTACAACCTGGCAGCTATTCAGGCTTACTTTCAGCTCTTCAAAATCCATGCATGCCTGTTTCTCATCATCCTACATTTACTGTTTTGGGGGGAAGCTGCCTCTCTGCACTATCAGGTAATTTGTCAAAGCTCTACATCAGTTCTGGCCTGTGGGTGCCCTTTTTCCCCACCAATCTGTCTCTAATTCTTTTGTGTCTGTCCTGCATGTGCCCCATCACTATAGACAGTCTCTGCAGAGCGCCACTTGGCCGTGGCGGAAGTCCCTGCAGGGGCAAAGACGTCTGTATTTAGGGGAGTGTCCTGCACAGCTGAAGAGGAGGGGTTCCCGCTGGAGACCGCACTCCCGCCGCACCACCGAGAACGCTGGAAGGATGTGGTTGATCTCAGAGTCTACCACCTCGCACTGCACCTCCAACCTGAGGGGTGAAACAGAGGAGCAGAGGTCTGTAAACATGCTAATATTTTGTTGGCGTGTTCTACAAAAGATAACTTTCAAATAAATACAAGTAATAAAAGTTATTTTTATTTGCAAAAGTAACAGAAAAGTGGAACTGGCATAACCTCAAAATTTAAGACAGGAAAAGAGAGAGATTTCATCACTTTCATCACACTACAGATGCCAATTTAAAAAGAGAGCGAAGGAATTTTAATGGAGAAGTGACAAGGAAGTTGGAAAAACTGCGAGGCAGATTTGAGACGTCAGTGTGAGAAAGATAACTTGTGTCAGAGAACAGACCTGAGCTACGAGGGAGAGAAACGGAGCAGAAATAAAAGGAGAGCGGCACTATAAAGACAGACAGAAAAGAAGCAAACACAAAAGATACTTGGAGGATGAAACGTGAGCAAAGAATAAGAGGTGAAGCAGTCAGGAGCGGGATGTTAGGAGGAAAGACTCACACACTGGCTCTCAGTCTCAAAGCTCCGGTAAAGGCAGCGTCTGAAACTTCTAGTTCAACTGCCTGCAGCTTGTACAGTAAACTAAATAAATACATGGTGAGATGCAACCTCACCTGTTCTCAGTATCAGCTAATATAAGAGAAATTATCCATAACGGCAGTGCAGAAATACTGTGGTGGGTTTAGATGTGATCACATTGTGTAGATGAATTTGAATGAGCATTTCAGATACAGAGCCATTGTTTTTCTTTAAGGGGATCTTGATTTTTTGTGTTGTGATATCTAAAAATAGCTTTATTTGTATATATTTTTCTTTAGATCATTTGTAGACATGATCGACCACAGATTGTCTTCTTCAGTTGGTGGTGTTCCTGGGTAAAGAAAGGTTGCTTTTGGGACTTTCCATTAAAGTTTGGTTGACAGACAGCAACTCTGTATTTATACAGCTTTCAGCCAGGTGGGCCCCTTTACTTTAGGCTGACTTACCCGCGCAGGGCCTCCTTGTTGTTGATGAAGCGGAAGTGAGCAGGCTCACAGATGAAACCAGCTGAATGGCACGCCTCCACACAGGACTGGCCCTCTTGAGATACGAGCAGCCTGAGGGAGCTGAGAGGCGGCCAGGCAGGGGGAGCCATCACACTAGACAACCAGCCAAGGGCTGTGGAATTGGACAGGGGCACAAACAGAGGTCCTGTAATCCTGCTGCCACCAGCAGACCCGTGTCTGGAGAGGTTGGCTGGAATGAAGGGAGGCTCTGGGGCACAGAAGTCCTGGAGGTGAAAGATATGTGAGCATTAGTGCGCAATCATATTGAGGACTGTTGGAGGAATAACTAATATTGTGTCTTTTAGGGCTGACCCCCAACAGTCGAAGATTCGATGCTTCGGTGGGCGGAGACTGATTTGACTGTCAATCTCACAGTCGAAGCTTCGCAGCGAAACAAGGATCATGCCATTTTGGCCATATGGGGGTGCTCAACGTCTGATTTTACATAGAACTACCAGTTTTCTCCCAATAAGTTAATATACAGCCTATTACAATATACATTTCAACGTTTTAATAATAAATTAACATGTCGGCAGCACGTCATGCATGCAAAACTCACAAGACTGGTGAATGAAAGGTGAGAGAGGGAGAGAGAGAAAAGGGTCTTCAAAAAGCCTGTTTAGCTGGAAATGTACAGTGTAAGTTGAATGAATAGAGACTGCAGCTCTGCAGCTTCTCAAGATTAAAGCAGAGCTACCATGTGTAAACCCCCTGGCTCGCAATTGCCGCACACAAAAACACATCAGTTGACTATAGGCAGGACTTGACGATTCTGATTCGACTATGTAAATCCTTAGTCGGGGACAGCCCTAGTGTCTTTTATTATGTTTACAGGCAGAATAGCAATGCAGCTCGGTAAAATGCATTTTAAACTATAAGTCTCTCTTAAAATAATACTCAAATGGCCATGTAAACATTAAAACTGTTTTTTTCTTGCTGTAATCATTCCTCTTTGTAGTTCATACTGGCCATTAAAAGATCCTTTCATAATGCAAATTTAATGCAGTCCTTGATTTTTTCCCGTGTTTTGTATTTTGACTGGGCGGTAAGAGGACACTACTCCAAGTATATTTGTATAGCACCTTTCAACAAGGCAATTCAAAGAGTGGTGCTGTATTTCACATAGCAACAATATGCTTGACAAAGCAGTGAATAACAACATGTAAAAACACCAAAGAAAGTGTTAAAAGAAGGTGATAATTTATCAAAGCCTTAGCTGCTATGTATTTGTGAAATAAAGTGAAATAAAAGAAGAAAGCACAAAGATTGACCAACTGTAAGCATTGATCTCTATGTTAAAACTTGTGGTAAACGGGAATCTAATTTAAGTTTTCCCTGTTTCTCTTTCGACAGTATAATGCCATACGGGAGGTTTCTGTGTCCAAACCAGTTGCCATTCAGGAGCAGACACAGGTTGCTGTGAGACTGTGCAGTCTGTCTGACATCTAGTGTGGGATTATTAAAAAAATCTTTCTTTCATCACAGTACTCCATCATCACCGTCATGCTCACACTTCTGCTCTGTCTCCTTACTCATACCTCTCATTAGTGTCAGAAGACCTTCTGCTTTACAGCTGGAGGGCAGATATGTGGTTGGTAATGAGAGTTAGCATGTACATTAATCTCAAGTCTACATACATGAATACATGGAGGAGACACACACACACACAACACCACCACACACACACACACACACCACACCACACACACACCACACACAGTGTTCTGGGTGTTGAATGCACCAGTGATGAATATTGAGCAGAGTGGGGAGTTTGGAGATGGTGAAAAGGGTGTATGTGTGAGAGAGAGAGTGACGACGGCTAAAAGACATAATCTCCGCATGTGTGTGTTTGGTTCAGCGCTCTGTGTACATTTGTCTCGACATGGACTGAACCTCACCTGATGCTGTATGTAGGAATGTATCTCTCCAGCATCCCCTCACAGGTGTACTCATAAGGCAGATATGGCTCAACCTGAAAATTACACAAAAGCACAGTCCTCACCCCATTTATTTCCACATTATTTTGCACCCATTAAAGTTTTTTTTTTAGCTGATTTTATTGTTCGCACTAATTGCAATAAATTGTTCTCCTTGTTAATTTCAGCAGATGAATGTTTCCATTGTCAGATTTCTGCGAGGCCTAGTCATAGTGTCACTGCTTGGAAACTCATAGGTTTTATTTGCATACCAATAGATCATCCCATGCGGTGATGTGCCGGTTTTATAACTAAAGCAAACTTTTGATGGGCCTAATTAGAGATGAGCTAGAAACCCTATATACACTGCTCAAAAATAAAGAATAAGGCAATGCTTAATCACCACAGTATACATCATGATTGTTCTCTAGTTTTGCTTGTGTCCTTGTCACTACTGGTAGCATGAGGTGGTACCTGCAGCCCATTCAGTTTGCACAGGTAATCCAGCTCCTCCAGGATGGCACATCCATACATGCCCTCACAAGAAGTCTCCTAGCAGTCTCAAGAGCATGGAGGGGATATCAGGAGACGGGTTACATGAGAAGCGTTGGACAGAGCCGTATGAAGGCATCAATCCAGCAGCAGGACCGGAATCTGCTCCTTTGTGCAACGAGGAATAGGAGGAGCACTGTCAGAGTTCTACAAAACGAACACTAGTGGGCTACTGGTGTCCATGTGTCGTACTAGCCAATGGTACTCTGACTGCTGTTAGGTACCGGAATGAAACCCTTAGAGCCATTGTTAGACCTTACACTGGTGCAGTGGGCCCGGTTCCCCTGGTGCAGGACAATATCCGGCCTCGTGGACAGAATGTGTGTAGGCAGTTCCTGGATGACGAAGGCAGTGATGCCATTGACTAGCCCTCATGTTCCACAGACCTAAAGCAAAGTGAGGACCTCTGGGACGTTAGTATTGGTGCACCAACGCCACCAAGTAGCGCCACAGATGTCCAGGAGCTCATGAGGCCTGCTCTAGGTTGGGAGGAGATCCCTGGGACACCTCCACTGTCTCATCAGGAGCATGCCCAATGTTGTTCGGGAGTGCAAAAAGACACATGGGGGCAACAATCCAGCTGTCAATCAGT